TCCTCTCACAATATATTGCTTTACAGATATATCGCTTTTGCCACTCAGAAATGTTCACGCAATCATGTTGCACACGTATCAGAAGATCTGCGCTCCGGCGCAGTTAGCACTCCGCTCACACTACATGCGTACCGCGCTCTGGCCTACCTCTTCCAACCGAGCCAGGGACAGCTAAACGAATGCACGGAGCGATCACACTAGTCAAACGAACCGTGCTTTGGGGGTCAAACACGCTCGGGCACGGAGCGATCACACTAGTCAAACGAACCAGGCTTTGGGGGTCAAACACGCTCGGGCACAGTTAAGATTGCCTAGTGTGAGTACACCCTAATTATTCTCCTGCATCCCGCCCGCACTCACCCATCAAGTGTTGTCCCGCACCGCACTCTGCTGTGTTGGGTCCCCCGATAGTGCAGGTCTCTAAGGTGCCTGTTATAATGTTATGATCGAGGCTTTAGACTCTGAGCATAACTTGTTTTTCTTTAATATTTTCTATAATATAATATGTAATAAAATTGAATCTAATATAATACTTAGATGACCATTGTGAATCTTGGTGCATGTAGATAACTCCGTGAATTTACACTAATTTAAATGATAATAAAATTATTAAACAATCTGGGTACTATTTTCAGCCATCAGTAAGAGTATAGTGTGGTATTTAACAAATTTTTCTATCAAAACTGGCATAATATAAAAAAACTTTGCAGATTATGCAATGGACTAGTTTTATTTATTTATTAGGTATGTCAGCTCAATACTTAAAGCGAATATCTTCAGATAACATGAAAGATGACTCACACACATTAAAAACGTGTGAGTGCGTTTACTGTCATGGACCAGTGCTGCCGATAAACCAGATGTCTGAGGTGGTGTAAATGGCGCTTATGACAGTAGCAAAACTAGCCGGCTGTGTAAGAATAAGGTGGTTTGGGTTTGCTGACCACAAACCCCCGAGCCGCCTGTCCGTGCCAGCTATGGGTCCAGTTCCACTCCACACAGCAGAATGTATTTATAACCAAAAGCCCCGCTCACACACACACCCTCTCTCTGCACTATCAGCAGGTTCTCACTTCAGCGTGCTCTGTGTTTGTGCAGCGCTTTGGCAACCCGATCATGTCACTATAACACCCCTAAGATGCCATAAACACTGCTTGTTTAACACAGCCGTGTTGAGCCTCAGCGCTTGTAAAAGGAGAGGTGGCGTCATTGTCGAGAGAGGAAGAGACGGAGAGGAATGAGAGCAAGCAGCCAATGAGGGCTTTGTAGTGGCTTGTGTTTTCACTGGTAGAGGCCCACTGTGACACAGTCTTTCTGAGAAGCAACTAGGGCTGCAACAACTAATCGATAAAATCGATTATTATCGATAATGAAAATAATCGACAACGATTCTCATTAT